TTTGCCTTCCCCCAGCTAGTCTGGTCCTTGCATACCTCAGAGCTTGTATAACTCATTTTGGTTACACCTCTCTCTTGGCCCAGGCCACCCCTCTTGGTTGGCCAAGCCTTTTGCTCTGCCTCCCCCTCTCTCCTCACATGACCCAGCTCAATCTGGCCAAGTTCACTCCGAACTCTCCCGGATGCCTCTGCCTCTGCCTCTGGCTGTTTTCTCCCTTTTATCTACAATAACCCTCTCCTCCACCATACCTCGAGCAGCCATGCCCTTCCTTTGTCTTTTTCTTTTTTTTAAAGATTTGTTTATTTACTATATATACACTGTTCTGCCTGCATGTGTCCCTGCAGGCCAGAAGAGGGCGCCAGATCTCATTACAGATGGTTGTGAGCCACCATGTGGTTGCTGGGAATTGAACTCAGGACCTCTGGAAGAGCAACCTGTGCTCTTAACTGCTGAGCCCTCTCTCCAGCCCTTGTCTCTCTTTTCCATTCATTGAGTATGGTAGCATGCTTGGTCTGCAGCAACACCACTGGATGAACAGGAAACCAAGGCTAAGAGAGCTCTGGCAATTGCCCAGGATCACCAGCCCACGTGTGACCAAGCAAGGACTTAAACGTGTGCCTGTCTGCAGTGCCTTGGCCCTCGGCCAGGTTTCCTACCTCTTCACCCTTGCTGTGTGGGGCTGGGTTGTGGGCATGTTAGTCTATCCAGTAGCATCCCTGCCTGGCCCATGCCGGTGGCATCTCTCCCTGACTGTGATGTCTCCAGGCCCCTGTAGAAGCCCTGCCCCTACTACTAGGACTCCAGTGCTCAGGCTGAAGACGGAGCTGCAGCAGCTCTGCAGCGGGGCTTAGGGACCAAAGCAGCGTTGAAAGAACTAAAGGACAACTTCAGAGAGTTTCGGCTCTGGGACCCTGAGATCGGCCCCAGCACAGCGAGGTATTGGCTGATGTCAGCCTGCTGAGAGAGCCCAAGATGCCTGCAGGGCCTTTGATCTCCGAATAACTGATGTGCTACGGGCTGGGGGAGGAGAGAGCACTGTCGCCCTGCCCCTAGTTGTCTAAGTGTCTCCTGCCTGGGACAGATTTGTCTGGGGGCCATTAGGGAGCTGCCTGATGGTTATCTCCCAGACAGCTTGGTTCTCTCTGTCTGTGATTCTAAACGGGGCTAATGGCCACTTGAGATTCAGATTCCGCTGCTGCCTAGAGCCTTCCCAGTGCAGGAGAATCAGCAGTTCCTCACCCCTGCTCACACTCCCACCTCAGACATATGCTGGAGCCCTGGGCACGGATGCCAATGCTCCTTGTCTGCCATGGCCCAGGTCAAGTCTTCCAAATGCCTTCTAACCCTTCCCAGACCCAGACAACATGAGCAGGGGTTACAGTAGTGTACCCCAGAAGGCCTCCACCTTCTTCACTGTCAGTCCTTAAAAATGTTCATTTAGCCAGGCCTAGTATCACAGGCCTTGTGATCCCAGCTACTGGGGAGGCTGAGGCAGGAGGATCATGAGTTCTAAGTCATCCTGGATAATTTAGTGAGACCCTGTTTCAAAGCCTGCTAGTGAAAAAGAGGGCTGGGATGTAGCTGAGGAGCGAAGTGCTTGCTGAGCATGGGCGGGGCGCTGGATTTGATCCTCAGCCTACAGAGGGGGGAAAAAAGGTTCATCTGACCCTCCTTCCCCAAGGACTCCCTGCCTGTCCTTATCAGTGAGGTTGCCTACGTCCCCCACCCCATTGTACTCTATCCAGTTGTTGTCGTCGTCGTCATGATCACCACCATTACCATCTTCATCATCATCACCACCACCACCACCACCACCATCACCACCACCATCACCATCACCACCACCACCATCACCATCATCACCACCATCATCACCATCACTATCACCACCATCCTCATCATCACCATTACCATCATCACCATCACCATCATCACCATCACCATCATCACCATCATCACCATCACCATCATCATCATCATCATCATCATCACCATCATCATCATCACCATCATCACCATCACCACCACCACCACCATCACCATCACCACCACCACCATCACCATCACCACCACCACCACCACCATCACTACCATCATCACCATCATCACCACCACCACCACCACCATCATCACCATTACCATCATCACCATCACCATCACCACCACCACCATCACCACCATCATCATCATCATCACCACCATCATCATCATCACCACCATCATCACCACCATCACCATCATCATCATCACCACCATCACCACCACCACCACCGCCATCATCATTATCATTACCATCACCATCATCATCACCACCACCATCACCATCATCACCACCATCATCATCATCATCATCACCATCATCACCACCATCACCATCATCACCACCATCACCATCACCATCATCACCACCATCATCATCATCATCATCACCATCACCATCACCATCATCACCACCATCATCATCATCATCACCATCATCACCACCATCATCATCATCATCATCATCACCATCATCACCACCATCATCATCATCACCGTCATCACCATTATCATCATCACTCCTCCTCCTTCTCCTCTTCTTAAGATAGAGTCTTACTGTGTCTGGCCTGGAATTTGCTGTATAGACCAGGCTGGCCCCAAGCTCTCAGAGTTCATCTGCCTCTGCCTCCTGAGTGTTGGGACTCAAATGTGCACCACCACGCCCAACTGTTTCTACTTTTTCTTTGCAGTGCTGGGCCCCGTGGTCTTTTCCTGCTCTGACAGCCTATGGCACCTGTTGCTACAACCTCACAAAACGGCAAGCGGTTGACTTTGAATACCATCAAGGGTTCTGGGACCCTAACCATTGGGGTTTACATCCTTCCCCAGCCCCTTCTCAGCAGCGTGACATTGGGTCAATCCCTGACCACTCTGTGCTGTTACTTCTTCTGCAAAATGTGAGTTAAAAACTACCTGCCCAGGAGTGCATTTAATTTTAAAATTACATCTTTGTATTCACTTATTTATTTATTTTTAATTTTTTGAGACAAGGTTTCTCTGTGTAACAGTTCTGGTTATCCTGGAACTTGCTTTGTAGACCAGACTGGCCTTGAACTCACAAAGCTCTGCCTGCCTCTGCCTCCCAAATGCTTGGATTAAAGACATGCATCACCACCACCACCACCACCTGACTTATTTCGTGTGTGTGTGTGTGTGTGTGTGTGTGTGTGTGTGTGTGTGTGTATTCTTCTGTGAATGTGTGGAGGTCAGAGGACAACTTGTAGGAATTAATTCTCTCCTTATACCTTGTGGCTCTAACTCAGGTCATCAGACTTGGCAGCAGATGCTCTTGCCCTGTGAGCCATCTTGCTGGCCTTCAGAGGTGGTTTTCGAGATCTAATAATTTAATTTTTCTAGCGTGCTGTTTTGTTTGTTTAAGATACAGTGTTAATCTGTAGCCCAGGCTGGCCTTGAACTTGTGACAATCTTCTTGTCTCAGCCTTTCAAAGGCTGGGCGTCTAGGCATATGCCACCATACTGGCTTCTCCAACATGCTTTGCAAAGATCCTGCCCCATAGAAAGTGCCTCAGCACTCTTAGTTACAAATATTATTAACAGATCCACCTTCACCCCGTGTGTGTTGTATGGGAACATACATGCCACAGCCCCTACGTGGTGGTCAGAGGAAAGCTTACAAACCATTATGTGGGTCCCAGGGATCAAGCTCTGGTCATCAGGTCAACAACTAGCACCTTTACCCACTAAATCATCTCAGTAGCCCTAGATGGACCTATGCTTAAAATAAAATTTGCAGATCATTCCTTGTGTAGCTTTGGACATGTCACACTGCAGAACCTCAATTTATCTGTGAAATTGGCATCTGAGTGCCAGGAAGATGCTCATTTGGTAAAGTGCGTGAGGCCTGAGTTTGCTCCTCAGCATCCATTTAAAGAGACAGGAGTGGCGGCTGCTTATCCCAGCACCGTGGAAGCAGAAAAAAGTGGGTCTCAGGAATTTGCTGTCCATCAGCCCTAACTGATTCAGTGAGCCCCAGATCCCACTGAGAGACTTTGTCTCAAAAACTGCAGTGGACCTTTGACCCCATACTGCATACACACACATGTAAACCTGTACACATGCATGAACCTGCACACACATGAATACCCCCACCACATACACATGAAAAAGATGGCATCTGAAGCCCCTGTCAGAGAGAGCTGCTTTTTCAGATGGACGGGATGGAAAGGAAGCACGTGGCCCAGGTTGGTGGCACTTGGTTCCTCCCTAACAGGTCCATTCTACCTGCATTGCCTTTCTGATAAGAATCCCCTTGAAGGACTTTGTGTCCTACTCAGGGCTGAATTCTCAGCTCTTCTCGAGGGATGAGTAAGTTAGTAACAACAGGGACCAAGCCCTGCCCATCTTGGTGCCAGAAACCGGATTTGTGTGATATGTACCCGCCAGTTTGAGTGAGTGTTTGTGAACAGAACAGTTTGTAGAAGTGCCATTGGGCTGTGTTTCCAGTCCAACTGAGAAAGATGTTGTGATGGGTAACTGTATGTGACAGTTGGCGGGGCTGGGGGAGGCTTAGATACTGGGAAAGACACCATCCCTGAGACTGGGAGGCCATTTCAGCTACACAGAGGCTATCACTAGCCCACTGTGGGCTTGCACAGAGCTAGAGGGCCAGAAAATACCAAGGGAGCCTCTGAGGATAAGCGGAGGTAGCCATCTTCTGCTCTGGGATGTTGGGGCTCCCAATTCAGGCTCAGATGGAGGCTACCTATGCTATTGCCCCCCTTTCTTGTGCGTAGTCCCTCTGGCTCGGACTGGAGGTGTCGTGATGATTTACCTGGGGCTCCAGCTCCAGCCTCCACACTCATGTGAGTCAGCCTCTCAGAATAAATGTGCCTCTCTATTGGTTCTGTTTTCCTGGAGAACTTTGACTAAGACAAAGACTTATTCGCTTATCCCAAATCTCTCCAAGTCTTTTGTGAAATGAGGCTATTAATAACACTCACCGCAAAAGATTATTCTGAAGAGTAAATGAAGAATTTCCTAGAAAATGTTCATTTGTGTCCTCACTTGGGCCTTGCGTTCCTCTTCTGTAAATGGGTATTTGCTCATTCATTCACTGATTCACTCAGACACAGTGTCCAAGGGCTGCATTGTGGTTGAGATTCAGGGAAGTCACAGAGGCTCCAGTTCCTGTCGGGAGGGTCTTTGCAGATGCTGGAGTACAGGCCACTGTTAGAGATTCAGCTGGTGAGAGAAGAGCCACAGTGTGTGTGGGTGGCCAGGGGCTGGAGGGATGGATGGGCAGGTGTGCCTCGGCGAGCTGACTAGCAAGATCGTCAGCCACCAGTTTGTGTGTGTTTGAATCACCCACATCCTATCGTCTGAAATGGACTAGCCCTCTGTGGGTTCTGGTTCTGTACCTCCAGTGCCTCTGTGGCCCTACTTAGCTCCTGGCTCACAGAACACAGCCAGGGACTGGTTGTGATGTCCCATCACAGTGAGCAGACATCTTGTTTTCCACCTCCTCCAGGGAACCCCGCCCCAACACACACACTCAGTGCAGAACAATGTTAGAGAAGCTGAAAGTAAGTGTCCCTGCCTTGTTCTCCAAATACATGCCAGCAGTTTCCTGTGGGATCCAGTGAGAAGCTTGGGCAAGGGAGATGTCCGGGAAGCCAAGCTAGGCCTCTGGGCTACTGTATCCAAAGATCGATCACATGCTTATCTCATTGACTCGCTAACTCCAGGAAACTGGCTCCTGCCAGCCAAACTCACAAGAGACTGAAGTATTTGAAGTAGAAATTTACATTTAAGCTAGGTGTATTGGGAGGGATTATTCATCTCCAGCAACCAGAATATTTGCACCTGTTACCCACAGCAGTCTTTTTTCTTTTATTTTCAGCAGAAAGAAATTTATATGCCAGGGATATTTAAATGTCAGGTGTGGGTGTGTGTTGGCAATGGCCTGGCCAGGGTTAGAAGTCTCAGTGGCCCATCTGCAGTAGGCCTCAGGGAAAAAGCAAGATTTATGAGGCGAGAGCCCGCCTGGGCCGCCTCTTCCGTGGGGAAAGGGCTCCCTGCAGTATTTTCTGTCTTGTCAATGCCGCGTTTCGTTTTAAATTGCAGCGGAAACATATTTTCCCTCTTGCCTATTACACCTCTTAAATTGTCTCTCCCTCTGCTGTTGTCTCTGTAAAGTGTTTTGCATGAAACCCACACAGCAGTGTTGTTTTGCTCCCGGTGAGGTTTAACAGCAAAGGCAGGTGCAGACTCAAGTCCACAGGATGACAGTGCTTTGAGTCTGGGTCACACGTGTCTGACAACACATGCCTGTGTACGTGTGTGCTAGTGGAGGTGTCTCTGGGTACGCCTGTGCACATGTCAATGTTTGCTAATATAGACGTGTCTAGGTACACTTTGGTATAATTTGCTTGGGTGTCCGTGCTGAAATTAAGTGTGTGTTTGCATGCAAGCACACACCCACCCGGCAGCCTCTGTACGCATAAAAACGCAAATATTAATGTACATGCATGTCGTATGTATATGACCCGTGCTTATGTCCAGGTCCCCGCGTTTCTCTCTCCCTCTCTTCTTGCTTCTCAGGTTAGCATCTCTCGCTAACCCCACCCAAGAGCCTTGGCCACGTTTTTGGTGGCGGTTTGCAAGGACCACTGGAAATACTGATTCAGCCAGAACTAACCGCGGCCACAGCTCTCTGGTTTGGTCCAGCCATCCCCATCCCCCAGCGCGAAGCAGCCGTACCACCGCAGCTGGTCTGAGCTCTGAGCATCCCTGGCTGCCAGCAACCTGACAATCCCCGGCCGGTGCTGAGAAGTGACAGGGTCGCCCAAAGATGGCAAAGCCTTCCAAACCAACCTGGTCTCCTGGCCCTTCCGGGGGAGACTGAAACACAGAGCGGCGCAAGGCGGAGGTGGGCGGTGGAGGGGGGGTCTCGGTCGCTCGGAGTCCAGCGAATGCCGAGCAGAAACCAATGGGTGATTGTGGCCCAACGGGGATCCCTCGGAGGCAGCCAATGACCTCGCTTCGCTCTGCACCCCGCCCTTGCCACAGCGCGCAGCTGGACCATTGGAGCCAGCAGGATGGGGGAGCGCAGCGCCAGTACTGGGAGCAAGGGGCGTGGCTCAGATAAGTGCCCGCCCATTCTTCCCGGCTAGGCTCTCCATTGGCCAGACTGGGGTGCCGCGGCGGGTGGAGAGGCGGGGCGCGGGGCGCGCATGTGGGCGTGGCCTGAGGGCGTGGCCGGCGGGGGGCGGGGCGGCGGCGCTGTCGCAGTGAGAGCTTGAGCGGCGGCGGCCCGTCTGGAGCTGCAGCGGGGGAGGCTGCGCGGCGAGTGGAGCCACGGGGCCGGGAACAGGTGATCGCAGCGGGAGACCCGCGCCCTCCCGAGTTGCGGCGTCCGAGTCCGCGCTCTTGGGCGCAGCGGCAGCCGCCCAGCCCCGGGCTGATCGAGGCCAGCTGCAGGCTTCGCACGCGCTTCCCGGGCATCCCTCTGCCCGCGCGAGCGTCTGAAGCCCCCCGGGTCCCGCGAAGCCTCAGGAGCCGCAGCTGCGCGCGGCGGAGCAAAGTTGTGGACGTGTACGGACCGCCGGGCCCCGCGCCGTCACCACCAGCCAGGCGCGCGCTCTAGGAGCGGTGCTCGCGCTGCAGCCCCGGGGGCTTCCGTTGCAAACTGCTCCAGAGGCTGAAACTTCGAGTGCGGGCGGGTCGGGGCCTGCGGGTGTCCCTGCACACCCTGCTAGGGCGTCACAGACGGCATGTGACCGCTCCGGCGCGGGAAGGCGCGGGCTCTGTGGACCAGGCGGAGGGCAGGTTGCGGCGCACGGCGGGCCCGGGCTCCAGCCGAGCAGCCTCCCTCGCCCGGGCCCCGCCGAGGCCGCCGCGCCCCCGCCCTCGCGCGGGAGGACTCGCTCCAAACTCCCTGAACTTCAGGCGGGTCCCAGAGCGGCGGCCTCGGGGTGCGCAGCCCTGCCCGGGAACCCCAGCCGCTGCGCTCTCGTTCCTTACCCTTGAAGACTCTGAGGACTCCGGGGAGCCCCGGCGGAGCTGACAGCCCCCTGCTGCTGGCCGCGCCGCGATGCTCGTGAGGAAAGTGCCGGGCTTCGTCCCGGCCTCGGCGTGGGGGCTGCGGCTGCCACAGAAGTTCCTTTTCCTGCTCTTCCTCTCGGGCCTCATCACCCTGTGCTTCGGCGCCCTGTTCCTGCTGCCCCACTCCTCTCGCCTCAAGCGCCTGTTCTTGGCCTCGCGTACCCAGCAGCCCGGCCTGGAGGTGATGGCCGAAATCGCCGGCCACCACCCGGTGCCCGAGCAAGAGCCGCCTCCCAACCCTGCCCCCGCGGCTCCGGCCCCGGGCGAGGACGATCCCGGCCGCCCGGTCGGTGTCCTCCGTAGGAAAGGGTGGCTGCGGCGCACCCGCCCCACCGGGCCCCGGGAGGAGGGCAACAGTGTCGCAGCCCCCAGGCCACGAGAAGAGAGTGTCCGGTTCAGTTTCGACTACAATGCTTTCCGCAGCCGCCTTCGACACCCGGTGTTGGGAACAAGGACTGATGAGAGTAAGGAGTCCCAGAGTCTAGTGCGAGCTCAGCGCGAGAAAGTCAAAGAGGTAAGCACCCCCCTGCCCTAACACACACCTCCCGCCAAGACTTCCCGCAGCGAGCATTTCCCTCTTCTTGACCCCTCCTGGCTCCCGGTCTACCTGAGACCCTTCAGGCACACTGCAGCACCTCCTCTCTCTCCAAAGTTTCTCTCCTCCGTGCATACTTTAGGGTAACCGGGGCTTTAGCTTATGGCTCCTACCCAACCTCTAGACGGATCTTTCCTGTTGAGTGCCCAGCCCTAGTGGGCTCTACGCTTTCTCTTGCCTGGCTGCTAGTGCGGAGTGGACTCTAGGTCCTTAGTTTGCATTTGTACAGGAGGGAGCCACTGGAAATTTTCTCTGCTCACTGTGTGTCTTTAAGTCTTGACTTCCCCTAAGCCCCAGCAGGATATGGAAACCCAAGATGTGTGAGGTATTTGGTGTCCTATTTTGTAATCTCTCAGCATTCCTGCTAACTGCTTCTATCGAGCTTTGCAACAATTGTACATAATTGCATGTGAAAGAAGAAGGAATGATCAATAAAGCAGTGGTAATGTTACAGAAGCTCTGAGGTTATTGGCTTAATGAGGTGGATCTTGGACTGGTTCCCTGTAAGGATTGGACCACAGAGGGATTTAGAAGGATCACTTTTAGTCAGAGTCTTAATTTAAGACATCAAAAACAAACACAGCGTGGACATGGCTTAGCAGACAGTTGCCAAGAAGCCTCTGGTACCTGAATGTTCTGCCCCACCCCAGCTGAGAGTGGTCTGTGTGAGATGTGTGGCCAGAATAGCAGAGGGGGGCTGCAGTGACACCCCCGGGCCACAAGGGGGCTGTGAGCAAGCAGTGGGCCGGGGTCTCCTCCCTGGAAAGGAGAGGATGCTCTCCCGTTCCTGGGGACCCAGAAGGAAAGCGCTGCTGCAGTCCGGACCTCTGAGTTTACTGCAGGAAGTCAGCAGGCCTGCTTTCATTTCTAGAAAGAACAGGCAGCACCTTTAGGGTCTCCCTTGTGAAGATGAACTAGAGCCCCTGGAGGGCTTGGCTACCCTCTTCCTCTGAGGGAGTTGCGCTTCCTCCCAGTGCCCATCTCATCACCGCCATTTATGTCTGCTTGTACCCGAAGCTACCATGCAGAGCCCTGTTTGAGACTTTTTTTTTTTTCCTAGAAAAGCGTTTCTCTGTGTAGTCTTGGCTATTCTGGAACTTGCTCTGTAGATCAGGTTAGCCTCAAACTCACAGAGATCTGCCTGTGTCTGCTTCCCGAGCACTGGGATTAAAGGTGGGCGCCACCACTCTGTTTGAAACTCTTAACAAGCAACCACAGGACATGTGAAGTCACTCAGGAGCTAAGTCCTGGATGTGTGCGTGCTCACGTGTGCACACGAGCATGTTTCCCGATTTTCACTCACCTCTCAAAGGTTAATCAAAGACTAGAACTTGCAATAGTTAAGCAAGAGACACCATCTCTCCCATTTCTGTTAAGAGGCTGTGTCTTGTGCCCAGTTCACCTGGGTCATTTGCCTCTCCCTTTCCTGAAGCTGTTTCTCAATACAGGCCCTCTTTGCACTCCTCTGAACCTCCTTGGCGGGCTGCAGCTCCCAGTGAAATCAATCACACATACGTCGCATGCATGCATACATGCCATTTCTCAAGGGATGCCCAGAGCTGCCAAGAAATTGTCAAAAAGATCTCCAAAAGGATGGAGAATTCACTACTGTGGAAGAGGTACCCTTCTGAAAGCCCGGGTTAGAGCCTCCCTGATGGGGTGTAGGCTGGCTGCTGGAGGGGAGCTTGCCTTTGTCCATGCAGAGATAGCCTTGTTACTAGCAGAGGCTGGGGCTGGTAGGTGTGAGGACGCTCTGCTTTGCAGGTGGGTGTGAAATAAGACAGTGAGTGGGAGAAGGACTTACATTGTTGCCAGGTGTCTGGATCTGGGATGTGTCATCTCCTTGCACCCTGGGTGTAGCTAGAGGCATGTACCTGCTATTCCATAGCCTTCTTCTCATTCTCTGTCTTGGAGACTGCAAGCTCCTCAGAGTGGTGGGTGCTGAGCAATATTCACAGTTATGTTTGGGGACCTGTGGTCTTTTCAGGCTACTTGACTTGGAACCCTGCCCCATGTCTCCATTCTGACAGTGGTGGGTGGAGTCTTTTAGAAGTTAACATACGGTGACTGTCCCTACTGTCCCCCCCAGAGGAGGCATCCGCAGGATTACTGCTGGAGGTGTCTGTTCATGGTCCTCCGGTTTCTCTCTGTGTCATGCCTAGGGGTGAATCACTTTAAAGGTGTCTGTTTTCCAAAAAGGGACCGTGGGATTTGTCTCTGGTTTGTTTATTTCCAGACGTGGATTGATTAGACCCAAGGAGAAGTAAGGCTAGCATCAGATGAAAAGAGCCCTGTCCTTATGAGATTTTTAAAGTGAAGATAAACATCGGGACAGAGTCAGAGAGGGTGATAGATGGGAGTGGATGGGAACTGGACACTCTGGCCCCGGATCAAGTCAATGTATTTGTGAACATTCTGATTTGAGAGATGGATGTGGGGGCAAAGCCTGTGCTGATAAGATGGGTCGAAGTTGCAGGTTCTGGTTATCCACGTGTCAGGAAATACTTTGTCACCTCCTGGTTTTGGAATCTTGGAGAAAGCAATGTGTGTGTGTGTGTGTGTGTGGCGGGGGTGGGAACAAGAGAACAAGGGTCGATGTCTTAGCTCAGCTGCCAGCTGTTTGTCTTTGGGCAAACCACGTGTCTTCCTGCCTGGACCTCCCTGTAAGATTGGACAAAAGAGAGGTGATAGGCTGTCCGTGGACACTGGTCCAGCTCTGGCCCCTCTGTAGACTTCCATGACAGTCAGGGTCACCTTAGCAATTGAACTTTCTCCATTCTCGCACCTCTTGGTCCCACAAGGTCAAGTGTAATCATGTGGTGATGGTTTTGATGGCAGTGATGGACATTGTTGTATCCCTAGCTTTTACCCATGAACAGCTGTCTAAATGTTGATTAATTTAGTTATTCCCAGCACTCATATTGAACTTGGGAGATGGGATTGAATGGCTCTACAGCTTGTGCTCATGAAGGGCAAAGATGTTGGCTAGAATTCAAAAGGGAACAGGCTTGTTAACTACTTCTTTTCCAGCTCTGAGGACCGTATGGACCCACAAGGATGCTTTTTGGCATTGTGGTATGATGTCATCAACATATGTGACATTCATAGCTGTCCTGGGACATGTGCAGTCTGAGGGCTGCAGGTTAGACATGTTTAATAGGGAGTGAGAATCCTTGTCCATTGGTGGATGGTCTGTGGATTCTTACATGTGATAAGAGTTGGGAATGGGCACCCTGTTAGCATCAAACCCAGGGAAATAAGTTATACTGTTCTGAATTCATGACTGTAGGTTGCTGATCTGAAAAACCTTATGGGTCCCTCCTACTGAAGGGGTCTTTTGTCAAATGGAATGGGCAATGTAGGGCCATGATACTGGTGACTGGTTTTGGGTGTCCTCCTAGCCCACATGTTACTTTTGGACAAATTATAGGAAGGATCATTCCTTCTGCTTCCTCTTCCTGAAGTGCTTGTCTGGGCAAAGAGAACCTGGATTGCATTTCTGCTTCATTGTCCAGTTGGCCCTGGACTCTCATGTGGCACCTCACAGCAGTCTTGCAAAGAATCCAGCCTGGGTTCAACTCTGCCTGTGGTCTGGGTCTTGGCCTTGATATAGTAAAACCAAGAGGCCATAATTCAGGGGGCGCTCTTCTCTTTCCTCTGCCTCCCTGTTTACTGCTGTATTCATGGATCTGGTGTGACATTTAGTTGTCCCAGATATTTGAATATAGATTCAGCTTATTCAAGATCTGTAAATTGGGCTGGTGTGGTAGTTTGAATGTAATTGGCCCCCATAAGCTCATAGGGAGTGGCACTATTAGGAGGTGTTGGAGTAGGGTATGACCTTGTTGGAGGACGTGTGTCATTGTGAGGGTAGGCATCGAAGTTTCCTATGCTCAAGATACTGCCCAGTGTGACAGTTGATTTCCTGTTGTCTGTAAGATGTAGGACTCTCAGCTACCTCTCCAGCACCATGTCTGGCTGCACGCCGCCATGTCCTGCCATGATGATAATGGACTGAACGTCTGAACTGTTTGCGAGCCACCCCAGTTAGATGTTGTCCTTTATAAGAGTTGACATGGTCATGGTGTCTCTTCACAGCAATAGAAACCCTAAGACAGCTGGGGAGATTGGTCTGTTGGTAAAGTACTTGAGGACCTGAGTTTGAACCTCAGAACCCATGTAAAAAAGCAGACTTGGTGGCGTGTCCTTCTTACCCCAGTCATGGGGCGGTAGAGACAGGTGGATCCTTAGGACTTATGGGCCAGTCAGCCTAGTCAAAAAAAGAAAAGAAGAAGAAACAAAAAAGGCGTGTTGAGGCGCTTGCTGCCAAGCCTGACAGTTTGACTTCGATCCCTGAGACCCACATGGTGGCATGAGAGAACTCATTCCAAAGCTTGTCCCCTGACCTTCACTGACAAGTCGTGGCACTGCGGCCTGTGTGTTGCACCCCTATCCACAGGCAAAATGAATACATGTAAAAGGAATTGCTGTTCTTAGAGGAAGAGCGGAAGCAAGATGGGTAACACCAACAACGTGAGGTTGACCTCTGACCTCCATATGCGTGAATGCATGTGCATGTGCACCCTCCCCCAACACACACACACACACACACACACACACACACACACACACACACACACACACACCCCTCTGTAAATGAACAGTTAAGGCTGCTGCTAGTTGAGGCTGGATCTCTGCCCCAAGAGCACCTGTGATTTCCAAAGAGGCTGACAGGGACCTCCAGCCAGGTTTAAGGGCTTAATGGCTCAGCCACCCAAGAGGTTGGCTAGAAGTATCAGTAATTTTCCAAGGCTAATTTGAAGGGGACAGAGGTGAATGAACTCTTTCCTGCCTGGATAGCAGGCACCTGGAGGAGGCTTTTAATTGTCCCAAAGTGCCTGCGGCTTGGCAAACAGTGT